ACGAGCCCTGCTGAAGGCCAAAGCTGACAAGGATGCAGAAACAGCTGCCGGTCAAATTGCTTTACATGTGGCAGTTCAGAATGGCCACTTGGAAGCGGCGAGGTTGCTGCTGTTCACTGAAGAGGATGTAGATGTGAGCAGTGCAAGTGACTCTGTTGTTGTTGCTGGAGGTGGCCTGCTGGAAGCTATGCGCTTACTTCATCAGGCTGCAATCGGCCAGAGGGCTGCGCTGGTCACCGATCGAGCGGTAGCAGCAGCCGAGAACGGGCTGCCGGAAGTGTTGCGTTTGCTGCGTGAGGTGGCTGGCAGGAATGCAACCTTCCCCACAAGCGGAACTGCAAGTGGCCTCCTATGAGTGCTTGCTTTGGCGATCCGAATGGCACTTGGAAGATGTGAGTTTGATGACGGCTTAGATTTGGAGGGTTCGTCGGGAACCGTGCAGAGTAACCATCTGAGCCAACTGCACAAAACTAGGGGCTGTCCGTGCTACAGTGGCCAATGTTACGGCAAATGTTTGTTTCAGACACGAATCAAGCGTGTGGGGGTTGTCAAGCCTCACCTTTCTTTTGAGGCTTTGTGATGCTACGGAGGGCTGTGCCGCTGGCCAGTTTGTGCAGGGAAATGTCCATGGAGGACCTCCATATTTCACACATCTCAGGATTGTTTTTCTCCACAAGAGCTGAGGAAGGAAGGGTTTTTGTGAAAGCCAAGGTTGCCATAAATTCGTGGCATATTTTGAGCTGTTCCTTTCCCGGAGCAGCACTAACATCCTTGGCCAGGCTTCGCGGTGGAGATGTCACAGGCCCGTGTTTGAGATGTCACGGGTCCATGAGCTGCGCGTGGAGATGTAGAAAAAGAAATTCCCACTCCCGTGTAGATCTTGTGTCAGGACGCTACTAGGGGCTCCTGGCATCTCTACTAGGAACGAAGCTACTAGGGGCTCCTGGCCTTACTACTAGGAGCAAGGACGCTACTAGGAGCAAGGACCCCGTGCCAGATGGTGAATCGCTGCGAGCTGAAGGGCTTGGACTGCGGGGACGCCCAGACTCCAACTCTGTCGATGGGTCTTCGGGTCTCTACGAGCGACGTGTAGGCCGCGATCCACGAATGCCCCCGATAGAAGTCATATTGTAGAGGCCATTCCTATTAATTGGAGGCCATCGCTATTGATTAGGTTGGATTGAGCTCGTTCTTTTTTTTGGGGGATCCACTCCGGCAATGTCCAGCCTCACAGCTTGAGGGTTGAGGCGGCATTTGTGGAGTTGAATGCTTGGAAGAAAGGGAGTTGATTTTGACGTGGAATTGTTTTTCTGCTTCATTCATTTGCTAGTCATTTTGTTTTTCTGGCACTGCTTTTGGCATGTTTTTGCGGCTTCTGGCTCATGTGGTGCACCAGCTTGGTTGTTTTTTGAAGGGAAGCGCCACCCCCTCCGGGCCCGCCAAGGGCCACACAAGCTAAAGCGAACTTTTGTTGGGGGAGCCTTGGGTTAAATTCTTAAGGAGAAACTGTTTTCCTTGCCTTGTTATTTCCTTTTCATTGTTCTCAAGAATCAGCCAGGATAGCATCAAAGTTTATTCAATATCAAAAGACCACAAGACCACAAAACAAACTGTTCCAGATGAGAGAGAGAGATAGAGTCGTCGAGTCTTAAGCCTAGAGAAAATGTGACCGAGAAGTCTGGGATTAGCAAGGGGCTGAGGCCTAGACCATGACCAGTGGCGGCTGAGCACAACCAATCTGCTGGTCACGAGCTCAGACGGAGAACCGTCCTCCCAGTTCCTTGATACGCCTTCCGCCGTCCTCACTGTTCCTGTCGTAGCTCTTCCGCCGGGGCTTCTGACTTTGTGCAGGTCGTCGGACGGCTCCAGTTTCCAGGGAATCCCCCGTGGCGGCATCATCACGTGCGGAGGCCTAGCGTTTTCTAGCTCCATTTCACCCACCTGCCCCTAGTAGCGTCCTTGCTCCTAGTAGTAAGGCCAGGAGCCCCTAGTAGCGTCCTTGCTCCTAGTAGCGATGCCCAGCTTCTTGCTCCTAGTAGTGTGGCCATTTCACCCACCTCAAGCCCCAAAGGCTGCAAAGGAAGTACTGCAATTGTCTGTGGCCGAGGCACATGGCATCAACGAGGCGCATGTGGCCAACTGCTCCCCTCACAATGCAGAGCGATGCCGCTGGGAGAATGGATTGACCAAAGGGACAGACACTCCATGTAGCAGGAGCATCAAATCGGTGATTTTTGGGTGTTGATGGAATTGAATTGGTATCTATATAGGACTTTCACTGAAGTATAGATGGTGGCAGTTTTGGGAATTAGAAAACACTTGCTTAACTAGTAGCATTCGCGCTACCCCAGTCACAAAGGGCATTGCTACTAGGAGCAAAGAGGCTATTAGTAACAAGGGCATCGCTACTAGTAACAAGGGCACTACTACTAGGAGCAAATAGCTAGTAACAAGAAGCTTAACAATCTTAATCTCCACCCATGGCCCGGCCCTCCTAGGGGTTTCTCAGGCCCGGAAGCTTGGAGCAGAGCGGGCCACCCTGGCGGCTTCCATTGTTGCTTGGATTCACTTGGGGCGAACTGACCGCTTTGACTTGTAGCACAAATTGCGCACACTGAAGGTGAACAGGTGAACTAATGCTGAGCCAGCTTGCTTGGAACAGCTGGAAGCGAAGAGAAGAATCTCACGATGCCAGCAACTCGTTCCAACGCTTTGAGCGCTTTGAGGCCTGAAAAAGCTGGAAAAGCAGCCATCTTGGCTGGCTTACCTGAGGCACGAAACGGGGCCCCGAGGTTGATGGAAGACTTGGATTAACTTATCAAATACAATTCATGAACGCGTCTAAACAGCATCATAAGGGCCGCGGGGTGAGAGAAGGGACAGCGCTAAGCGCGTTGCGTTCGAACAAACATGACAGCTCAGTCGAACAAAAATGACTCTCCAGTCGAACTTTTGGCCGCTGCGCGTTGCCGTAACGCAGCAACATGTTTGAGTCCAACTCACAAGCAGTGCAGTTTGGCCGCTACCACTTTGGCCGTCAGCGGTTTTCGTCATTGCGTTGAACGAACTTGGGGGGTCCGACGAACACACAGATATGCGTAAACACATCAAACACACACACACACACACATATATATATATATATATTACATTGATAGACATTTATTCATAATGCTCACTGTTTGTGGGTGTTTGGAGCATTGTTTGGTTCATTTCTCGTGCATATTTTTGGGAAGGCCCTGTGCTGACTTTCAAAGTGCCTCCTTAAGAACCTATATCCCATCCAAAGAACATTCACAAAGTATGAGGTGTTCAAGGAACAGAACATTCCTTGTGCCAGGGATGAGATGTGGATACAGGATGTGGCCAAAAAGGGTTCGGAATGAGCCCGTGTTAGAAGGACAATTCAACTCAATGACAAGAACTTAAGAAGAGAACCAGCCGATTCGATGTATTTTATTGAGGTAGGGTTGGGGGGAGGCATTTTAGGTGTAAAACACATGTTCAGGTCAAAAAGGAGATATATAATCGTGCTCTCATCTTTATAAGCATGCTTCCGTGTTGATTGTGCGGAATTTTGTCTTTTCAGGACGTCGTATCATCTCAAGAACCAAGGCTTTAGAATGCTTGCTTTTGAAGGAGCACCCTTCCACATTAAAGAGGACCTTAAACATGTGTGATGGGACCCCAAAAGCGGTTCCTATTGTTTTTACAGGACATCATTTCAAGAAACTGAGAGCCAAATATGCGGACATGTTGCAACACAACAATGTGATGTGGACTTAAGACAGTGAGGCGTGCGCTGACACACCTAAGAATTATGTAGCCCAGAGGCTGCAGCCGCGGCACTGCAGTGCAGGTCAGACGGTGCCTGTCGACCAGCCAGTGCTGGACCGTTTCCGTACGATGACTGCCATGCAGGGACCCTAAGCACAGGATGGAGGACATTGCTATTAGGTTGGTTGGCATCGCTAATAGGTTGGAGGCAATCGCTATTAGGTTGAAGACCATTGCTGTCAGGTTGGAGGCCATCCGTATTATATAGGTTGGAGGTCATTGCTGTTAGGTTGGGGCCATTGCTGTTAGGTTGGAGGCCATCGCTACAGTATTCGGTTGGAGGCCATTGCTTATTATGTTTCAGGCCATTGCTATTAGGCTGGAGGCCATCGCTAGTAGGTTGGAGGTCATTGCTGTTAGGTTGGAGGCCATCGCTAGTAGGTTGGAGGCCATCGCTATTAGGTTGGAGGCCATTGCTGTTAGGTTGGAGGCCATTGCTGTTAGGCTGGAGGCCATTGCTATTAGGTTGGTTGCCATCGCTATTAGGTCGGAGGCCATTGCTGTTAGGTTGGAGGCCATCACTATTAGGTTGGAGGCCATTGCTGTTGGGTTGGAGGCCATCGCTATTAGGTTGGAGGCCATCGCTGTTGGGTTAGAGGCCATCACTATTAGGCTGGAGGCCATCGCTATTAGGTTGGGGCCATCGCTATTGGGTTGGGACCATAGCTATTAGGGGGAGGCCATTGCTATCAGGCTGGAGGTCATGGCTAGTAGGCTGGAGGCCATCGCCAGTAGGTTGGAGGCCATTGGTATTAGGCTGGAGGCCATCGCTATTAGATTGGAGGCCATTGCTATTAGGTTGGAGGCCATTTCTATTGGGCTGGAGGCCATTGCTAGCAGGTTTGAGGCCATTGCTATTAGGTTGGAGGCCATCGCTAGTAGGTTGGAGCCGTCACTATTAGGTTGGAGGCCATCGCTATTAGGTTGGGGGCCATCGCTATTAGGTTGGAGGCCATTGCTATTAGGCTGGAGGCCATCGCTAGTAGGTTGGAGGCCATTGCTATTAGGCCAAAGGCCATCGCTAGTAGGTTGGAGGCATTTGGAGGCCATTGCTATTAGGCCCATTATTAGGCTGAAGGTTGGAGGCCATCCCCTAACTCCAGTGCTCTGTCGAGTTTCTTTTGGAGTGGATGCCTCGGCCGAGTTTCGCCCAGGAGCAGTGCCGCACCTTAGCAGCGAATGGGTGACAACAGTGACAAGGGTCGAGGTGGTGGAGGAGCAGAAGCCATGCGGGTAATGATTGATGATGTATAGTCTTTGGCAGTTTGAGATATAGCTTCAAGGCTAGAGGTTAAGCACTCAGATGCAGCTGTGCTTGAGCATTTGGATGGGACCTCTAGCAGCTCAACATGGAGGAAGTGGCTGGATGTTTATGCTTGTTTGTTGTTTTTCGGACTTGGTGGCTAATTGTCCGTGGACGTAGGCAATTGAGCACATGTCCACTCAGGCATTGTGAATGCCCACCGCTATGCTCACTGCTCTGATCACAGTATGCAATGTGACTTAGAAGCATGATGAAAAGGAGTTCTTGGTGCAAGGGCATATCCGGCACGTATCAAGGATTCAACCTCTTTTTTCAGGGGTCACAAGCAGCTCATAAAGGAAAGGGCGGCTTCGGGGCCAAACATGCCTTGGTACTTGAGCCTCAGTGTTGAGGTCCACAAGAATGGACGAAACCGGGCAACCCCGGCGGCTGGCATTGTATCTTGGTTTGCAGTATTCGAACCATCTGCCATCTTCGGGAAGAAGGTCCTGCGAAGGTCTTTCTCCCAACTCTCTGAACCTTCCACTGGAGGCCTTCAGAAGCTTGTCTTTCAACATTCCGTGGAGGCGTACTTGAGGCCGGAAGGAGTTGGGATGTGGCCGGAGGAGATTTTTTTCTAGTTGATCAGTTATGACCTTCAAGGAGCTCGGGTTTTCGGGGAGTAGTTCCAAACAACGAAAGCATGTGCTCTGTGTTTCTGTTTTTGTTTGTGGGGAGAATGCTTGTTCAAGAATATGCCCGTACCCACCCATGGGTGTAGGAGATTTGTGGGCATCCCTTTGATGCACAGTGCAGGTCGAACGGTGCTTGCAGACCGGCCAGCGCTGGACCATTCCCCTATGATGACTGCCACGTGGTAGACTCAGTACGTGGATCGTGACAGGTTGGCAATTGAAGTGCACACTGCCAACGACAGTGTTGCCATGGTGACCGTCTGCTGAGGATCAGTGTCGTGACTTGGCTATTCATTGCATATGCCCCTGTGGTGGGTGGTCGAACTCATCGGTGGTGCAGTGGAGAAGGTTGATGACGCAGCTGCTGCGTCATCCGATGTCCTGTGCCGATTGGTTCGACGACCTCCGCTCGAAATATCAGTCTAAGTAGAGGTCAGAGAAAGGTATTCTATTAAGTTACCAATAACAATATATAGCAATGGCCTCCAACCTAATAGCGATAGCCTCCAACCTACTAGCAATGGCCTCCCCCTAGTAGTAGAGGTCAGTAGGTTAAGGAAAGAGTTGGCCCTGAGGCATTGGGAATGCTGGTGTTGAAGACGATGTTGGTGAGGCATGGCGCTGAGACGACAGAAGTGTCTCAAGGTGCTTCGATTTGTGTCAAGGCCTGGCACGAGTCGCCACCAAAGGAGATGGTCGTCAAAGATGCTCATCACGTGAATGGACTGGAGGCTCCTGTATTCAATTGTGCATGCGTCAAGAGTCTAGAAGCTGAAAGAGAAAACGGGCCAAGCCGGTCTCCAGAAAAGTCTTTTCTTGGGGAAAGATGCTGACCACGCTAGTTGCAGGTCTTGCTGGATGCCTCTAACCTGCTGGCACACTCTGCCCAAGCGTTGGGAGAGGCCAGTAACATCGCAGCATATCACAGCTTATGATCGGCATGTTTCGGGATCATCGCAACAAATCTTCCAACCTTCAGTGACAGTGACCCCTCAAATCAGGTTGATTTGGAGCGGGCGGCCAGCACCATGCGCTTTGGCTTGGCCGAGATCGATCAGCATGAGGATTCTGACGGCCATTCGAGCGATGGCTGCTTATCTGAGTTGGGTCATGACACATGGCACAAGAGGGAGCTCCAACCTGTTCAGTTGAGTCTTAGAGATGCACCAAGTCATGTGCTTGAGTTTGGAAAAAGCAAGCCGCGCACAGCCGCGCAGGCTACAAGTACAGCGGCATACTGGCATCGCAGAAGCAGCCTCAGTGACAAACTGATTTGGTTGAGACTCGAGACGGGCTTTTCCTAATTAGGAGAGTAGGAAGCTACTAGTTACTAGTAACAAGTGCCACGCTACTAGTAACAAGTGCCTTACTAGTAGTTACAAAAAGCTATTAGAATTAAAATAAAGATAAGGCACTTGTTACTAGAAGCGATGCACTTGTTACTAGTAGCATCTTGTTGAGACTCGAGACGGGCTTTTCTTAATTATGGCACATGAGGAGTCGCCATGTAATTCCACAATTGGATATGTCACATGAGGAGCTTTTCAGGTGTTTCATCCCTCATTACCCTGTGTGTTGCAAAGCTTTTTGAGCAAGTACCGCCACGGGCAGCGTTTCGCAGTTGGAACTTCGTCGCACGTTTGGTCAGGTCTGGCTTCAGCTGTTCGCTCTATTTGGTACCCTTCAATGCGGACCATGTGGGAGTCTTCGACCTTGCGAGCCAGCGGCTGGGCCGATTGCCGATTCCGATTGCCGAGAGATTTTAGGAATTAGTAGTAACAAGTGCCACGCTAGCAGTACCAAGCGCCTTACTAGTAGTAACAATGTTTGCTACTAGGAACAAGTGCCACGCTACTAGTAGCAAGAAGATTAGATGGAATTAGAAAAGATATTTTGTGGGGGGGGTAGGGGACGCCACGAACGGAGCAAAGTCTACGAACGGAGCTTTTTCTGGGACGGATGTCAGAGACCGAATCGACTGTGGGATGCGACGGCGAAGACGGCGACGACTGTGGGATCTGGAGAGGTCCGTTTTGGCCAGGACTTTGAGGACCGTGGACATCTCGGTCTCAGGGGAGTTCAAATACTCCGCAGGAGTGACTTTGTGCGCAGAAATGGGCTTTGAGGTGTGTGGCAGATGGATGCAGGTGGAGGGTAGAGTTGGGGTAGAGGTGGTTGAGCTACAGTTGCTAGGTCTGGATGCTCGTTTTCTTCGTGAAACATTGCCAATTTGCCAATCTTTTTGGAGCCCACTTCGCCCAGGTGATCTACAACGAGGTGGCCTACTTCGCCCCCTATGGCGCCAACCATGTGGGGATTTTCGACCTGAAGAGTGAGCACTTCGGAGACTGGGATGGTTTAGCAACCGATGGGCTCGAAATGTTTTGGATGAACTCATGTTTTCATGCTTTGAAGGGTGTGGGAAAGGATGTCCCGGGATATTGCTTCCAATCCTCATGTGAGCCATAACCTTCAATCATTGCGGGTTGCACCTGGCATACTCCACCAAACTAAGTCGCAAAGACTTGTCGGGAACCCTTTCCGAAGATTCTTTGGATTTGTTGTTCTGGACTCAGATGTGTTTTGGCACCCAGCATGGGTGGGGTGGTAGCTACATCAAAGTCCAAATACCAGATGAGCTGGCAGATTCACCTGTTGCCGCTGGTGCTTGCAGGAAAGCTGGCGGTCCCTAGCTCGGCAGAATGCAAGTACAGTGCCATTCTGAGCAAAGACTCCACTGCCTACTTGGTGCCCAGCAGTTCGGCCCATGTAGGCGCGGGATTTGGCGGGTTCAACGGACATGTACCATCGCTATTAGGCTGGAGGCCCGTCACTAGTAGGTTGGAGGCCGTTGCTATTGAGTTCGGTGAACCGCAACAGGTGTTCTGGACATGGCCCGTCGGAGCTTCAAGACCATTTCTATCCCCGACACGGGCATTCGATGGAAGTATCGAGGAGGGGTGGCATGGCAGCACAACTGGGGTGGTTGGCTGCACTAGAAGGAGGAGGATGAGAGAAGACATATCATATCTCGTTCTTTCGACTACAGGATTTCCCTGCACACATTCCTTCCACCCTTAGGTCCTGCACAATGGGAAGTGCTACTTCGCCACTTGGCTTTGGGTTTGGGGCCGTCCCTTGAAAGCTCCACCGACCCACTGGGATTCACGGGATCCAGTGCCACCCGGTGCCACCCGGTGCCCCCAGAGTGCCCCCAGGCCCCGTACAACGCCGATGACATCGGGGTTCTGGACATCGCCTCGGAGGCGTTTCACGCCGTGGACATCTCCTCCACGATCAGCATCGACACGAAGCATCTCGGCGTGCTGCGCGTTTATCCAGTGGTGTCAGCATTGCACGGCATCGCACATATCAAAGTTTAAGGCCTGGGCCGCGCCTGAAACATGCTTCCAGTGAGGTTCACTGATGCCTTTGTGAGGGATGAGGTGATCTATTTCGTCCCTTTCAACGCAGATGGCGTGGGGGCGCTGCACCTGGAGAGCCACCGCTTTGAGCTGCTGCAACCTGGGAACTTTGCCGCACAGAGCTTCAAGTTTTGGGGTGCCATCCAGGTGGGAATTGTTTTGTTCATCTATGTTCTTTTTTTCTTTTTTTTTTCTCTCTCTCTCTCTCTCTCGCTCTCGAGGCCATCGCTATTAGGCTCCCTCCCTCCCCCCTCTCTCTCTCTCTCCCTTTTTTGGTGCTAGGATGCCAGGATGCTTCGACTTTCTCATGGAAACTTGACTCGTTGTAGGCAGCCCTTTCTCAAGTGCTTCGATGGGCCAGGTGGGAAGCTTGACCTACTTTGTTCCGGACAACTCCAATGCAGTGGGTGTCTTCAAGGCCGACGCCCAGGAGTATGTCGAGGTCGATGCTTGGCCGGGCACGCTCACGGTGCACCAACATGTGCCAACCCTAAAGCAACGAGACCGTTTCCAGTAGACGAGTTGGATGAGTTGGCTGAGAGGATGGGAATAGGTGGAATATCTCCCGTGCGGGCAACCAGCTTAGTTGGTAAAACGACATGTCTCGTAATCAGCTTAGCTGATAAGTCAAGCATTTGGAACCAAGGACATCAGCAGTAAGATCTCTTCAGCTTTCAAGCCCCTCGGCGCAGAGCAGCGGTGAAGCTGTTTGGTGAAAGGTTCCACACCGGTGAAACATCCACCCAACACATCTGAACCTACCTACCTTACCTTACCTTACCCTACCCACCTACCTACACACACCCTCTCAGTTGAGCAAGTGGGAACCAGAGGCTGAGCATTTCTCAGCTTTGGAATCCATATCGCTGAGCAGTTGGAACATGTTGGAACCATCGGCTCGAATTAGACGCATCCAGGTTTGCGACGGGCATTTTCTTCAACGGCGTCCTGTACTTTGCCCCGAGGACCGCGAAGCGGTGCGATGGGGCTTGGGGCTTAAAGGACCGAGAATCGGGACCGATTCTTGCTAGTAGGAGCAATGGTCGCTACTAGGGGCTCTTGGCCTTACTAGCAGCAAGCAGCTAGTAGGTTGGAGGTCATTGCTACTAGGGTGGGGCTTGGGGAGTTTGGATATGTTTGGGACACTTTCGAGGTGGGCTAAGTCCCCTGTAGTCACCTTGTGGCGTGGGTGGCGACAGAGCGTTGGCAGGAATGCTCAGAGCATTGGCATGCTGGAGGCACAGCACGATGGATATCAAGTGAGTTTGGTCTTTCACTTGCTTCGGGAAACGCGGTTTTCACGGCTTTCAACCGGCTTATCTAAGCCGTGAAGAGCTGAGAGGTGGGCCGAGCCGACCGAGACCTTTGCACAAACAGAGCGGAAGCACCGGAGGCGAGGCTTTGGGCCGTCCCACGCCGAGGCCGACCGATGTGTCAGACGCGCTGTCACCCTCTCCAGGCGGCCGTGGCCGTCGCCCTTCCGCACCTCTCCGACGCCGCAGATCCCAGGTCGGCTGGCTTCACTGTGGTCGTCCATCGGTTTTTTGTGCATCGGCAGGTCGTCCTGGGACGAGGTGTGGGAGTGGCCAAGGATTTTGGAGGCTGAAAGTGGGGACTGGGCTGTGGAACTTGTGAGGATGTTAGGGCCGCCATCAACCACTCAAAGACCCTACTAAACACCACCCCCAATTTGTGTTCTTTTCGGTTGAGGTTGATTTTCACTTGACTACTTAGTTACTTGCTGAGGAGGTTGATGTTGAAGATTGTGATGTCTTGGCCACAGGGCGTTGTGGTGATCTTCTTCGCGTTGCTCGCCACAGAGCTCACACGTTCGGCTGCCCAGTGCCCAGTCCCATTGGCCGGCGAGTCAGCAGATGCCCAGAAGTGGAGCACCTGACGGAGTCTCCTCCAGAGCAAACCTGGAAGAACCACTATATATAACTAAACTCTAAACTAAAAGAAAAGCATGGCCTCCACCCTAGAAGCGACGGCCTCCACCCTAGAAGCGCTAGAAGCGATGGCCTGCCTTCAACTAAATAGCGATGGCCATCAACCTAGAAGCTTCATGTAACAGTTTTCCTTCTCGTGTGGTTCTACGTGCTCCAGTGCGCGTAGCATCGCATAGCCGGCATAGCCCAGGTCCCACCTGGTCAGAGCAAGTTGGCTCTGCTCTGCAGTGGGTGCCCCAACCTGCTGGAGTCGCAGATTCTCTGAGCCAGCGCAGGGTTTATCAGTGGTCTTTGTCCGTCTCATTTGACTCATCCCGGATTTTCCATGCAAAATAATGAGTTGCCTTTCTCGACTTTTTCCGTGTTTTGGAAGGTCCTTGTTGTGGAGCATCGTAGTGGTGACCTGAGCACTGCTTCGGGCATGGCTTGAAGAGCTCACTGAGTGAGAACACCGACACAACTCATTGCATGTACATGGAACATGTATCAATCAACATGTTATGCAGGCAGCAGTGTGACCTCTAGCGATTTTGTGTGGTAACGTTCTGGCTTCCGGCTCATGATGTTCCCCACGTGTCCGAGGCCACGATGATCTCGGGGCTCCTCTTCTTCGTGCTACGAGGCCTCCTGGATTTTGGTGCCAAGCCGTTCTGGGCGCGGGAGCCCAGCAAGTGAGAGCTGTGACGTCCATCTCTTCGATCAGTTGGTCAGATGAAGTCAGATGTCAACTATGAGTGTTTTTAGGCACGATGTGTTGATGATACGTGAGCTGATTTGTTGTTTCTGACAGCATGAAGCTTCATGCATGGGGATCAAGTGCTTTGAGGTACAGCTTTGGCCGGCCGCAGCTTTCTTCCTGGCTTTATGGTTACTTTTCCAGGCTCGATTCAATCCTTCAATCAGAGCTTTCTGAAAAAGACTCGAGAGGCTCCCAGGAGATAGGAGATGCTTTGCATGAAGAGGTGAGCCTCACCATGCCCCAGCGTCAGCAGCAGGAAGATGGCAGGAGCACGGTTTGAAGCGGATGATAAAGGGCCAGACTGAGACTAAGATCGTTAAGAGTCTTGATGGCCAAGTGCCGAATAGAATAGAATGAAGGCGTGAGGGCTTGAGCCTTGCTAAATCAGAGAAGAACCATATAGAAAAATGACGACAGGATGAAACGTCTACAGTATTCTAGTTTGCTATTAGGAGCAAGGACGCTACTAGGGGCTCCTGGCCTTACTACTAGGAGCAAGAAGTTACTATATAAGGGCTCCTGGCATCGCTACTAGGAGCAAGGACGCTAAGAAAAGGAAGAAAGGTCTAATACGGAGTCGCAGGAGACTTGACCTCGTGGAGATCTCAGGCGCCCCGCGCGGTTTCTTTTTCTCCGGGTGTCGGAAAACAGGTGCAGAAAGAAAGATGAAAGACCTCGGAGAAAAATATCGCTTCCGGATTTGTTGTTATGTCTATTTTTGCGACTGCCCGTTAATGCAGCCACCTTGTTGCACAAAGCTCCTCAAGAACATGCTATACCTAGCCACTGGATCCATTGCGTGTTGAAATTCCATGCTATGATGAAACCATTTCCCGCGGTTGGGTCAAGAAGGGGTGTCCTTGCTGCTCCACACCTGCTCAGCCCAAAACCCGAGGTGGCTGAAACACACGAGCTGCGTGAACGGTCTGGTCCACCTCTGGTGACACCAACAAGTCCGCAGCGAATCTGGGTGCACCGTGTAACCGTCAAGCCTGTGTAGAAGTTAGTGGCACAAGACTGGCCGCACCTCACACATGCGCTTTTGCAAAAAACCCACGGCGTTTGGCGTTGTTTGAGTGGAGGTCAGTACCTTAGACCATGCTCGCGCTGAAAACCAACCTTGGAAGGAGAAGCGAGAACCATCAAAGCCAAAGTATGTTCTTCTCTTCCACTCTGCGATTTCTATGTTGGTTAGACGTCCAAGTGTTGCTAAGCAGCTCAGCCTCGAAGTCTCAGGCACAATGGCCAGTTTGGCCGCAGTGGATGCAGGTAGTGCCCTTCTGCGGGAGTGCAGGACCTGCATTCAGGCGGGAAGGGAAAGATCCGCGGCGGCGGGGCATGAAATGCTGTTGAGTGATATCGATATCTCGATGAATTACGATGATAGTATGTTTGACATTCATTTTTTTGTTTCTGCTTTCTGGAGACCTGGCCGGTGCACGGGCAGGTCATTCGGGGTGAAGTGCGAGAGTGTAGCGGGACCAGTGAGGCACATTGTCACATGGCCTCCATAGTGGCAAAGTGACCAATAGGGACATAGTCTCTGTATGCTATCCAAGCCCTCCAATTTTGGAGAGGCACATCAGTCTCCGGCACCTTTGTAGTTTGGCGTTCGTCTTGCACCTGTCTCCACTCCACTCCGGGCTCCAGGCAGCTGCTGCACTGATGCTTTTACAGGTGTTCCTGCTGGGCGGCGATGTGCTCGCAGGCGGTGACGGGAGAGGGGCAGCGCGTGACTCACTTTAGTATGGTCTTTAATGTTTTCCATCCAAGGCGTCAGTGACTCAAACAGACGGCCGCATGTTCTTTCCACCCTCACAGTCCAGGATAGGAGCAGAGGAGTGGCCAGGATGAATAGAGAGATTTCGATTCGCCCACTAGGAGCAAGGACGCTACTAGGAGCTCGTGGCATCGCCTCTAGGAGCAAGGACGCTACGAACGGGGCTCCTGGCCTTACTACTAGGAACAAGATGCTACTAGGGTTTTGTTGTTGTTTTCTTTTGTTTTGTGAGATTTCGATTCGCCTCCAGGGTGCCTTGCGAGGGGCCGACGGTGGCGGGCTGACCACCGGTCACCACTTCCAGTGCCTCTGGCACTGCTCTCAGTGGAGGCTGGAGCTGCTAGAGGCTGCTGGAGCTGCTGGAACTGGGGTGAGACAAGGGGGATATGGGCAGAAATTCCTCTCAGAGATTGTGGAGATTGGTTGGTTCCTTGATCCTTGATCCTAGCTTTGCACTTGAAATTTTGGGTTCCTTTGCAGAATTTTGCAGGTCCTATCTCTCGGCCTGCTGGGTCGTTTGCAGCCAGAGGCTTTGCTGAACCGCCGGGGCATTTTGCAGGCGAGTCGGGGAGGTCTGAGTCTATATATAAAGAGAATGAACTAAATAAAATCACAAGCTGAAGTCTTTAAAGCCCAAGGGCATCTTCAATTATCCTGATGGTCTGGTGCAAGGGTGTTAGCTGGAGTCTCTTTCAAAGGTTGGCACTGGGTTGACTCCAGGCCAGACTGAATCCTTTCCCTTCCATCCTGCAGAAGCCAGGATGGCTTGGGAGCTTTGACACCAGCGCTGGGCACGGGCCTCAGGGTCAACTTGGAAGCCTTGGTTTCCCCAGGAAATATGGAGATTGTGTGTCCTATTCAAGACTTATATAAGTGTAGTGTGCAGATATCTGGGTCCTCTTGCAGATGTCATGCAGTAAACGAAAAGGACAAGACGGTCGATGGGTACAAGCAAGCCTTGAGCAATGTGACTTTGATTAGATGCATGGTTACAACATGTAGTATCGTAATTCAGTTCTTGAGCCTTACATGGCGAGACCGGAGGGGTAGTTGTGACCTACTCAGTGTGTACTGCAGCCCGGGCTCCCAGAGGCTTTGTCCTCCTTCTCTACTCCCTGAGCTGTTTGCTTTTTGCTGCCGCCCAGATGTTGGAGCTCCGCCAGGCCTTTCCCCCGGTCGTTTCTTGTGCTTTTGAAGATGGGTCAGATTTCGAGTTCAACTGGGGGATTTGGATGTACCCAACTCAACTCTGACAAAAAGGACTCCAGAAATATGGGGCACGGCAAGCCAGTCGGAGGCCATTGCTATTAGTAACTCAGAAGTTGTTCTTTCCCCTATACTAGTAACAAGAAGCTACTAGGGGCTCCTGGCATCGCTACTAGGAGCAAGGACGCTACTAGGGGCTCCTGGCCTTACTACTAGTAACAAGGACGCTGCTAGGAGCACCCCACACACCTATTGCATCCTTCTTGGCGATCACCACATCTCACCACGCCACGCCACCGTGGGGCGCCGTGTCCGTCCAAAGGCCCGCGAGAGCCGTGATATTGCCCAGCTGGCGGCGGTCTGGGGGGCGCTCCGTGCCACAAGGCTCGTTGACAGTCGAGCCCAAACCCACAAGAACTGCTCATATGACGCTTCTACTTGAACCTGCCACAAGAAGCATCGCTACTAGTAACAAAGTTCAAAGGGCACTATACTACTAGCAAGGATGCTACTAGTAGCTCCTGGCCTTACTACTAGGAGCAAGAAGCTATTAGTAACAAAGGGCATCGCTACTAGGAGCAAGGACGCTACTATTGACCCTGCGTTCCGGGTACTGGGCGGAAACCAGCCAGCCACCTATCAAAGTATCCGGCGGCATCCGACTTAGGCCCCGCACTTCAGGGTCTATAAAACCCAACGCTACTAGGGGCTCTGGCCTCGCTACTAGGAACAAGAAGCTACTAGTGGCTCCTGGCCATACTACTAGTAAGTCCTTGTTCTAACAACCAGGAGGTATGACACACGAAAATGCCTTGGATGTCAGGTGGTTAATGAAGATTTGCGACTTCCAGTGGCCAGGCGCCTGCCACCAAATGCCTGACTGCTAGGTAATTGGATGTAGCTGAAGCTGGGGATAAAAGGTTGACCCTCGGATTTGGTAGCTAGAAGCTACTAGTAGCAGGGGCATTGCTACTAGTAACAAGCGCATCGCTACTAGTAGCTAGAAGCTTCTTTGTATAGGGCTCCTTCAAGCATGCCGTCAGTGGACACGCTCGACCGGACTACCAGGACACCGCTTCCTCTTCTGCTTTGTGCTCACCGCCACAGCTGTGCTGCTGTCCAGATATGACAGCCACAACAGCAGGTGGGTGAGGGACGTGTGAGGCGCTCTCATTTGTTGGGAGCTTTGACCTCTTCCAAACGGTTTCCACTGGGAACTTCACTCCGGACCCATTCCATGAGGCAATGCAGCATGTCGACAGGTGCACACGAATAGATTTTGTGCGAGGGAGATTTCCATACTGTGGCACTTGTGCCACCGCATCTCAGAGAAAGACTTGGCCAGGTTGGCCAGCCTTGCGCGGAGCAACAGCGCGCCGGTCTTGGGCCCCTTTGGATTCATTTGGAGCTAGTAGGTTGAAGGCCATTGCTACTAGTAGCACGAAGCTAGTAGGTTGGAGGCAAACGCTACTAGTAGCTAGAAGCCTCCCCTACTTCTTAATAGGGCGCCGGTCTTAGACCAGGACCCTTTTCGCCTTGATGCTACGCAGTGCGCCCAACCAGGCGCAGCGCTGGGTCTCCACTGGCTCTCTTCTGTGCTGTTGGCGGTGTCTTCGCAGCTCCACCTCCTGGGCTTCCTGGGTGCCTGGCTCCATCCATCACCGCCGCGTGTGCCCTTTGCGCCGCTCTGGTGCCTCGGGCTTCACCAGGTTTCCGAAGAAGACTCAAGGGAGTGTGTCTTGACATGATGCCAGAGAACCTGTAATACCTCATGAATCCCATTAAGTCTGATTCATGTGCGCCTCTGAGAAGCAATTCCAGCCGGAACTGAGGTTGATCGTATGCCTCTTGGTGGCCCTGCTGCTGTTCAAAATCAAAGCCAGGAGCAGTGGTGAAGGCAGGTGAAGCACTTGAGTCTGCCTGAGTGCTTCTTCAAAGTTCCGTTTGCCAGGTACACCAGCCAGCAGGCAACGGGTGGGTAGCGGTGGGTCAGGGAAGGAAAGGCCTTGGTGAGTGTGAATGGCCACAGAACTGGAGTTGAAGGAACTCATGCTACATACCTCCCTCATGTCTACACGTGATTCTTCTCTGAGCAACATGCAGATGCGGTGGTGAGGTACCGCCGACAGCAGCAGAAGGAATTCACTGAGTACCGCAGGCAGCAACAAAAGGATTTCGATGGCCAAGAAGGCGTGGCCCAAGAAGTGTAGACATCGGATATCGTTCAAGGCCTGCTTTTGGGGCTTGGCACAAAAACGTGGGCAGTCGAACGGGAAGACAGCAAGTGGGTTGAAACCGCCAAACACAAAGCGGCTGCTTTTTCGCCGCTCTTGAACAAAGAAAGGGCTTAGGTTTCACCCCAACTTGGTACACTTCTTGATTTACGTGCGTGTTCTCGCACCCTCAACTTTGGTACACTTCTTGATTTGAGTGCGTGTTCTCGCACCCTCAACCTTCTTTCAAAAACTGGGTACACTTCTCTATTTGTGCACCGGCACTCCCCCTTGGCCAAAATGGCCAACATCGGTGCCCAACAAAACGGGCCTTCGGCCCAAGCCCTCTCAGTCACGGAGTTCGGAACAAGGTGTAGCCCACCCAGAGGTCATCCAGGTAGCTACTGCGTCGACCTTGGCGCTCATCCACGATCACATACTTCACCTTCTTGATCGTGGTCCAGGCGATTGTCATCCGCCAGGGCAGCCACTCGCTCTCATCCCATAGATGGGGATTCTCGAAGTCGAACAGCTTCTTCCTTTCCTGCATGTGCTCTCGCACCGTGACTTTTCCCCCATCCGGGAGGTCTTCAATCGTCAGCCAGGTGTCCTTGGCTGCCGTCCTCTTTGGTGGAAGCCCCATCTTCCTCCTCAGTGCTGCCGTGAAGAAGCCCGGCTGGAACATCTCATCCTGCAGGAAGTCGAACACCTCCTCCTTCCACAGGGTCCACTTCCCAAGCGTGATCCCCTTTCCGACCGGCGAGATGAAGTTCAATGCCTCACTTCGCATGCCAACCCTTTGGCTTGACGCGGCCCCTTCATCAGCTCTTCCACTTCCAGCCTCGGTCCCGCATCCAGTCACCTCCTTCTCTTCAGTCTCCACTGGTGCCAAGCCCGATGCCCTTCCGGATGTCGAGGATGAAGCTCTTCCCCCTCCTTCCTGTCTCAATCTTGGATTCTCCGGCTTGTTGATGTGCCGGTCTGCTCCATGTTCGTTGAAGATCACATGGGTGCCATCAGAATCCATCATAATCCAGGTCCCTCCAAAGTTCTTTCGAGGTCCTCGCCTCTCCATCATTCGATCCCATGCGGACATCCCCAAGCCCAAGGCTGCTCGCCTCTTCTTCTCAGCTTCAGGGTCATAGGGTCCTCGATGCCATAGGTCAGGATCGGGTGCTCGTTGGCGTCCAGCTGGTTCAGGTCGGCCAGGGGATAGTGGGCCATGAGCGCCTCCTTCATCTCCTGCCGATGTCTGCCCAGGGTTCGTCTCCGACTCCCGACTCTGTCCTGGCGTCACCCTCATAGCCCTCATAGAGATGCGGCTCACCGGAGTCCTCGTTCCAAGCTCCTGCCTCTGATATAGCGGATCATCAGGATCTGCCCACGGGTACGCCTCCTCGTGTGCCGAGTATCCAAATCCACGGTTTCCCCGAGCGGTCTCGCTCAAGTCCTCAACGTGGTTCACCCCGACCTCAAGGATCTTCTCCACCACCAGCTGGGCTATCCGATCCCCTTTGTAGACTCGGAGATCTTCATCTGACCAGTTCCTCAAGAGGACCTTCACCTCTCCCCGGAAGTCTCTGTCCACCACCCCCGCTCCAGTCTCGATACCTCGAATGGCCAATGACGACCGCGGGGCTATTCGTCCGTAGGTACCAGTCGGCAGCTCGATGGCGATCCCAGTCTTGACCAAGACGCTCTCGCCAGGTGGGACCAGCGTCTCAATGGTCGAGTACAAGTCCAGTCCCGCCGCCTGGTCTGATCCCCTCGTCGGAAGCCGAGCCTCAGGGTTGAGTAGCTTCACCTTGATCTCCTCCTTTGGCTTGAACCACCGTCGAATGCCCGAAGCTCCTACCCGGAAGGCGATGTCAACCAAAATGGCGATGGCGGCCGTGATCAGTACAATGATCCACCACTCTCCCGTAGTCTCTGCCACCTCCACCTCCGCAGCCTCCACTCTTCCCAACAGACTGGCCGCTGCAACCAGGAGTCCTAGCCCTCTCGTGAAGCCCGGTTCAATCGTCTTGGATAGTTCGATCTTCTTGACCTCAATCCTGCAGCACCTATATCGATGTCTGGGGTGACCATGCTGCAGGCGAGTCAGGCATCGGTGGTGAGTCGGTGGTCACCTTCTTCTTTCGAGGAGAGTTCACATGCCTTAAGGGCGCAGGATATGCTATCATGTGCGATGTGGTTTCCTTCGAGTCCGTCTCAGCGCGATACTTTGTTATGTCATTACCCACTTCCTTGTGTGCGATGCAGTGATGATATGTGGTATCGTATGTTTGATGCCTTTGTGTCTTCATGGAGCGTATCCCGCAAAACCATGAACAGAATGCAACATGCTATTATGGGCAATGGCGGAGGCAATAAAGGCAAAGGCAAGGGACGAATGAGTGTGCAAGTTGACCCCGAGATGGAGTTTGCACGATCCATGCGAGAAGCGATCCCAGAGGCTGCAAAAATTCGAGCACAACCCAAACTTCTCCAGGAACAATGGAACCAAACTATCAAGGAGTGGCAACACCTGGACTCGTCAGGAGGAGTTGCGATTGCCTCCAAGGAGGCTATTCCCAAGATCCTGGAACGCGTAGGATACTCCTCAAAGCCGGTTGCCATCTTAGTAGTCCAAGAACCCGATGACATAGGCATGATGGCCTACCCGCGGTCACGGGTACGATGCACTTATGATGTTGCTTCGACCGGAGGAATGCGCAAACATGTGGAAGTGGATCGTTGGTTAGTTCAACTGGGGTTTGCGGAACAGGTTGCCATGAAGCCCGCAGGGGAGGAGGTGAAGGTTGGCTTCACGATGATTCGCATGATTGCTAAGTTGAGTCCTTTACGGGGATGGTCTCATGGTCCACACCCAGGGGGAGTTCTCACTAACCACTTGAAACAGTTTGTCGATGAACATGCCTTTGATGCGGTTGTCCCTCGTGAAGATGGCTCTTTCCTCTTTCTGGTCCACAATGTCCTTGAGGAGGTGTTACTTTCCAAAAGTGGAAAGCAGGGCATTTTTCTTAAAAGACACAACTCAGAACCAGATGCGGGACATGAGCTTCTCTGGCTTGACCCTGAGATCAGCCTTGATGATGCCTTGCTTGTTGCGGAGAGTGCCGGGGCTTTGGGTGTGGTGGAGAAAGGGAACAAGGGTAGGCTGGCTTTACGTTTTCGCAGTGTTGAGGACATTACTACCTTTGCCAAGTCTAACAAGTACGACTTCGATGCTAGCTTACAGAGGTGGAAGGTTACGGGGGTGCCACTACAGGCAGGAATTCAAGGTCTCTCCCACATGTTGTGCTCGTTGGGTTGGAAGGTTGCGGAGATCGTTTACCAGAGTGAGAACTCGGCAGTGTTTACAACTTCCAACAAAGGCAAGGAGGCCCCTGCTCACGTTCGGTATTTGGGACAACCCCGACGGATTCAATTCAAGGCCCTCAATGCTGCCGCAAAGCAAGAGGCCGCGAAGGTTTCCAAAGCTTCGCGTGGCAGTGGAAGTGATGGTGGGAGTGGATTTGATCTTGGTGCTCGAGCAAAAGCTCAACAAGCCTTTTTGCAAAAATTGGCAGCAGCCGCACCAGAGCAAATTCCCATCCCCGTTGACTCCCCCAAAGGCTCCCCCAGAGCCACAGACGCCACGAAGCGTCCCAATGATGGAAACACGGGGGAGACCCCCGGTCCAAAGCGATGACTGGGTTGACAATGACGGTTGGTTTCACATCCCATACTATTTTGCTTTGCTCTCCCGAACGGGACGCAATAAGAAGATGCATGCTCTTCATGGTAACCATGGAGATGAACACGTGGTGCAGTTTTCTCTTTGTAATGTGGCAGGTTTGCAGAAGAGTGGTCGTGTTGAGTTTTTGTCTTCGTTACCTTCACACTTCCTGGCTATTTCTGAGACACATGCGAATGCATACACTCAGAAGTCGTTTGAACGGGAATTGCGAGAACACGCTGTCCTTTTTGGTCATCCGGTTGCTGATCGTGGATTTGCGGGAGTTGCTTTCATGTATCGCAAGTCCGCAGCTTGGGCTGTGCGAAGGGTGTCATTTCTCCACAAGCCTTGTGAGCGGTACTATGCCGATAGCAGGCTGATGTGTGTCCAGATTTTTCGAGTTGATGAACGTCGCTCCGTGATCGTGTATGTGCTTTATGGTAAGTCGGGCGGTCGATGGGAGCCTGAAAAGAAAAAGTACAATGCACAATTGCTGGAGGCAGTCCTTGAAGACTCTCTGCGAAGGGGTGATGTGGCTACCATCGTCTGTGGTGACGTGAATATCACCATTGAGGATTGTCCTGAACCTTTTGATCGTTACCGTCGTGGTTGTTGGGTTGATTCCGCATGTTTTGGTCAGCATGGTTTTGATGGTCGACCTACGTCTTTGAAGGGTCAAGGAGCCCGCATTGACATGGCACTTTTGAACCAAACAGCTGGTACCCTTGCCAGAGGTTATGACCTGGGTGAAGGAGTGAATCCTAATGATCATTGCTTGGTCCACCTTTCACTGGCTTTGCCATCTGCAGCGCAGACGTGGTATATGCCCAGAAAGATTGGTTCTTCCCAGCATTTTCAATGTCCTCCGGAGGACTATCGGCCACCGCATGTGGCCACGAACCTGGTGATGAGGAAGTGTCTTCTCAAAGCAGACATTGACGGTGCCTACCGGGCATGGTGTCGAAGAGCAGAACATTTTCTCTTGAAAATCCCCCTGCAGAACTCTGGTTTTGACTCTGGAATTGGTCGTGGTCGTGCAGGTTTCAGAAAGCTCACCGTTTTCCCTCCTGAAGGATCTGCGTGTGCAGATACTGTTTGGTGCCGCCGTGTTGCGAAAGCGTTGCGGCAAGCCAATGAGCTAGGCAGAATGCGTCACTGGGGCTACCGGGCGGATGTCACCGTTGCCCATATTCGCAAGTTTGCCGGCGAGGCAAAAGGCCAGTTTGCTGATGCAATGCAAGAAGCACTTGTTGGTA